CCCACCTTCCTCCGTCATATCTTCAACCCAGCAGCAGGGGCCAGACACAGGAGGACAACGCTCTCTGCGGATATTTATCTGGCACCCATCAATGGGCCCCACACGTAACAGCTGTTTTCGGCTGCAACCTGACAAAACCAGTGGCTGAAAAGACAGGTGGGGCCATATGTTGACAAGTGGTTTTCTGAACTTCGAACGGTATTTCCTGGCCGGGGCAGTGATGCTCACCGGAAGGATGATCACCTCAGATCCATCTCGAACGGGATAAGGATTTTTTGAAGGTTATGAGAACTGATCCTTCGCTAGCACCACCACCTTTGGTTGGGAACTCCCAGTATGTTTATAGCTCCTTGCCATTTAACCCAAGAATAAAGCCCGATCTCCATTTGAAGGAGGTTGACGTTTGCATTCTTGAGCAGCAACATCGTTTACCGGATGGGGATGTGCAGAACCAGTATATGCCGGTCATTACCATGCCTATCCATTTTGGCAATCAAGGAGAGAACATCAACGGTCCGGGGAAATTACCCGAACGGCCTCCAAAGTGAGAGTCATTTTCTGGCCAGTAGCTCCGGCGACCGAAATATCTCGCTACCTGAACGGTAGTGCTCCTGGTCGAGACCTGCCGCTCGGCTCAAACACCTTCACACATCCTGCAACTTCTAATGCCTCCGAACACCGTCCATCCTCTGTCTCCCTCTCAATGCAAATGCTTCAGTAGGTCCGTGCCTATCCATCTGCGAGTTATTAATCAAAATGGAACACGTACCATATCGCCGTTCGGTATTACCGACCGGAGTAGCCAACGTCTGTCAAATGGAGACTGCCACCCGGGCTTGTTCACACTGCCCTGCGGGTACACAACTACACCAGGCCACTCACACGTTTCTCATTCATTGAGCAGAGAAGACTCTTCGAATAGATCCGAGTTTCGGTCGTTTTCTAAATGACGCTCGAGTTTTCCGCCTTGATTAATGGCCGCTCAATCTGGCCGCTCAACCCAGACCTCCATTCGCTTCCCCTGCTCCGGCTTGCACCTCCCGTAGGGCGAAGTTTCAGCTAGTGCCCGGCTGTCCAGGTAATTCCCGAACGGAATTGCAACAGTAGTGATGGAACTGGGTGGGTCTTGTGTGACGCTCCAATACTTCGCCGTGCCGTAAAGCGCCAATTGTTCGCTGAGGCAGGAAGAATGGGAGAAGCAGGAAGAATGGGAGAAGCTCGAACGGCTTCTAGAGAGCTAGGCCAACTAGCTGTTTCAATTTCAAACTGGGGCAGGGGCTGGGTCAAATTCGTTCCAAATGGATCCTCCTTGATGAGCCTTTATGTGCTGCCAAATACCGAGTTCAGCACATCTAAAGAGCTAAGTATCACCATTTTCTTGCTTGTTGATTTGTTGCTTAGTATTATTGCTATTATGTTTATGTGTCGCTATTATTTATTAGGGATTAAAATATCCCGAATAAAATAATGCCGAACTGGGTTGTATAAATAAGATCACCAACATTTCAATTAAATGCTTGGTCTGACGGGGTGTATCGGTCCACCCCCAATTGGGCCAAATTAATTGGCTGAAGCGTCCTCGATGACGTATTAATTTTAAAATTTGAGACTATTCATGGTCCCACTTGACATTGAGTGCCTGAACGATAGTTGAACCCAGTACGGGGCGAAGTACGTACTTTGATTAGTTAAAGCTTTTTTGAGAACGACCCTGCCAACTACTAGGTGGTTCCGGTCGTGGACTCTGGCAGTTCGAGAAATAAATCCAGGCCAAGGGTTGTTATTACCTTCTTGGCCGGTAGTCATGAATGGAACAAAAGAAATGTTATACTTGTGTGTGTATATACTTGTATATGTTGTTCGGCCGTGCGGCCGTATTACTATGCTTATTGTGCAGTGGAATCCATTCGACATGTTCGAACTGGGAGATCCGTGATATTGGAATGAAGCGCGAAGACATTCATGACCGGAAAAGAAAAGAAGCAGCGTCGTTCGATAAACTCGAGCGAAGAGATCAAATACGTTCAACATGAAGCGCGAAGATGTTCATGACCGGCAAAGAAAAGAAGCAGCCTTCGTGCCTTCTTTTTTATCAGGCTCATCGATCCTTGATCTAGGATGGCGATCGTCACTTCTATGCAGCACGAGCGGCTGGCTCTACATCGCCGTCGTGCCTAGGGCGGGATTGCACCTCACTTATGGATTATGCATGCCTTGCGTCCAAGATTATTCAAAGACTGATTCAGGAATGGCAGGAAAGGACGTGAGCAAGAGTATACTTTCTCGAGTAGATTTGCAAGCTCACTACTCAAGAAACTGGGGGATTTATGTTGGGGTATACTACCCCGGTCTACTACTACTATTCAGAGGCCCAAGACACCGCCCCGGTACGGGGCCCAATTGGTGAGACCCATTTAGGCTCGCTCGACCCATTTAGGCCTGCTCCGGTCCATTTAGGCCTGCTTCGGCCCATCAGTGCCTTTTCGGCCCGTTAGCCCCTTTGGCCCATTAGCAAGCCCTCCCCCATTTCCTATAAATAGGGAGGAGGGCTCCCATTTGAGGGATTGGATTCTTTTCTCCCTACTGCTTCTTAGATTAGCTAGCTCAAACCTCCATTAATGGAGGAACTAGTTTTGTACTATGTAAATGAGTGATGGGAGCATATTAATGAGAAAGAGCGGGCTTGGACGTTAGCCTAAAAAGTCATGTGGTTTTCTCCCTTTCCGGGTTTCCACATAAAAATAACCCGTTCATACACTTTTATACATTTATTACTTTTATACTAAATCCATCGTCCTTAATATCCGAAGTTTATGTTGTACTTCCGGATCTACGGGACTAAACTTCAACAAACACAAACTAAAATATGTATTGAAGAGAGCGAAAATGAATCGGGGCACCTTGAAAGTGGGTATTAGTTGCCTCTATTCTTCGAAGGAAGAGAGGAAAAGAACAACAGGCACGCCGAATAACATTGTATGACCCATGCAAAAAAATCACAGATTTCTTTAAAGTATTATACTTTTTCCATTTCTATTTCAATTTATATAAACAATATATCAAAATTTATAACTTTTTACAATCTCTCATATGACATCAATATTGCATATATAAAAATTTTAGAAAAGAATCAAGCTTTATCTGCTTGAGATTTTTAGGTACAATTTTTTTCTCAACTAGATTTAAATGTTAAAATTAAAATCTTATGGTTTAAAATATTTTTAGGTACATCAATTATTTTTTCAAAAGTAAGTATGAATTAACAACAAAAAAGCAAACTCAACCTCCAAATTTATTTATTATTAATCGAATGTTTGGGTTTTGTGAATCATAATTATTCGTAACAAAAAATTGACAAAAAAAATATTGTATAATAATGAGAGTAAGGATTTAATATAAAAAAAATTATTGGGTGAATATATTAATAGTGCTGAATTGCCAGAAAAATCGAATTGTCAGAATGAAACGTATGAATTTGTGGGAAATTTGATTTATTGACGAAGAAAGTTGTGGTTACTCTAATGCTCTTTTTGAGTAAAGTGAACCTAGTAAGCCTAGTGCAACAAAGTAAACCTAAGTTTTAATTAAAATTAAGCTAATTTAAGTGAATCTAGTTTCATACGTAAAATATTGTTTAAAAATAAATAAGGTGAACCTAGATTAACATAATAAATGTAAATTGTTTCGATGTAGGTACTCTAGCTCATTTTGTGTTATACGAGAACTTAATCTCCAAAACTCTCACTTCAGAGGTCCTTCAATTTTAGGTTTTTCCGATTCTCGGGAGTTATGTAATGTTAGAATGTTTTTATTTGGACTGTAATTTGCTGGTCTGATCTGATCTGAACTGATTTGGTCCAATCTAATTTCTTTGTATTTTTATAACTATCCAAGTCTGGTTATGGATCAAACTTTGTTTTTCAAACTGCAATAACCTCCTAAGTACGGCAAATTATATGTTGCAACCGGCGCACCATGAGGATGGTGCGCTCGGTTGCAAAACGACGCAGCATGCTGCTTTTCTTTTTCTTTTTTTTTTTGCTTTTGTTGTTAAAAAATGATAATAACTTTTTTATTTTTAATCCGATTTTTATAAAATTTATATCAACATTTTTTATTTTTCATGATCTTTCAAATGAGACCAATATTGTGTATGTAATTTTAAGAAATTATCGAACTATTATATTAATGAGTATTAGATTATAAGGAAAATCGAATATGTTTGGGAGATGATAGGTTTGTGAAATAGAAGATCGAATCTGTTTGGGAGTGGATCAGTGGCCTCAGTTACATTTGATAATACATTGAGTTACATCTTTTTATGAGCGAGTTACATCTTTTTATAAGCAAGTTATATCTTTTTATAAGCGAGATACATCTTTTTATAAGCAAGTTACATCTTTTTTTAAGCGGGTTACATATATATACACGCGAGTTGCATTTGACATGCCTGAATGCGAATTACATATATTTACACGTAAAGTTACATATTTTTACACGTAAAGTTACATATTTATACACGCGAGTTACATATTTATACACACGAGTTGCATTTGATCTGTCTAAACGCGAGTTACATATTTTTTTACGTAAAGTTACATATTGTTACACGTAGTGATACATATTTATACACACGAGTTGCATTTGATATGACTGAACGTGAGTTACATATTTTAACACCTAAAATTACATATTTTACACGCAAATGTTAATATGTTAAAATTACATAGGTAGGCAATATTGGTCTCATTTGAAAGATCATGAAAAATAAAAAATGTTGATATAAATTTTATAAAAATCAGATCAAAAATAAAAAAGTTATTACCATTTTTTTTAAAAAAAGAGAAAATAATATCCAATGGGTGCATGGTGTTTAGTATGCACCCGTTGCACGGTATACGCACTCCATAAGTACGGTATGTGTCACTTTCTAATTGTTCACTGGGCCCTACTTTATTCCCTTTGCAAGTCTTCTGGTCCCAACTCCCAACCCCACTTTAAGTCGTCTTTATCTCTTTCTTTCGGTCCCACATGCCCGCCTACTATGCTCTCGGTCCCAACTTCCTTCCGTTTCAAGTCTTCCTGTCCCTACCCAGGTCGGTCATTGTTATCTCTTCTGCATAAAACGGTGGCTTCTTAAGCTCCCTTTCAGTTTGATTTGAGGCAGAGAAATGGCGGAGATAGGAAAGACGGTGCTTGACAAGGGGTGGTTAGCTGCTCGATCGACTGAGGTTGACCTCACAGGTGTGCAGCTTACTACCAGCGATCCACCCTCCATTTCCGATCCCAAACGCCCTTGGATGGAAGCATCGGTTCCCGGAACGTAAGCTTACTTTATTACTCTTGATTTGAGCTAAGCAGTTCCGCTTTGGAAGAAACAATTATCCATAACTGGGAGACTTGTTACCAAGAATTGCATGTGCGATTTTGAGAAATTGTAGTTTAAAAGGGAAGTTCTGGTCGTACTTTGTAGTTTAAAATCAACTAAATTGGTTCACTAAGCTCAATTGGGACATAGAGTGTTCATAGAGAAGGGATGTATGCATATTTTTGGGGAAATGACGCTGAGTATATGATATAGATAATCATTGGCTATGGGATTCTATGTGCAGTGTTTTGGGAACTCTCCTAAAGAACCAACTGATACCGGATCCGTTCTATGGCCTGCAAAATGAGTCCATTTTGGATATAGCTGATTCAGGAAGAGATTACTATACTTTTTGGTTTTTCACAAGCTTTGAATGCAAGCTGGTACGCCACAAAGCATATATAGTTTATTTTTTCTTCACGATGTACTGGTCTTTTATTCACATTCCACGAGCTTTGCCTGTTATGCATGTTGTGCTAGTTTTCTTATTCCTAGCTGGTATGTGTTGAACTTGTACTACATTCCATTAATCTTTTTTATAGTTTGTAACCATGAATTTATGGCTAGAAATGACATTTTTTGTATTGCTGAGTGGTGAACTTTGGTTATTGAGGTGCATAACATGAAATGTAATGCCTTCTGGAATTACATAAGTGCGCCTGCTAGCCAAAACATGGCTAGAATCTAGCAAACTCATAATTTCTCTTTGTTCTATTTCCTTCAAGAAAGTGAGGGTGAACGATTGCTTAAATTTGTTTCAGTCAAACAATCAACATGTGGATCTAAACTTTCGGGCTATAAACTATTCGGCTGAAGTATATTTGAATGGACACAAGGAGGTCCTGCCAAAGGGAATGTTCCGAAGACATGTAATCAATGTTACAGATATTCTGCATCCAGATGGTCAAAATCTGCTTGCTGTGATTGTTTACCCTCCTGATCATCCTGGAAGGATTCCTCATGAGGGCGGGCAAGGTGGTGATCATGAGGTATTAACCACTTTCATTGAGGACTGACAATTATTGTCCAGATGTCCATTGTTCATCCAATCTTAATAGTCCAGGTATTAGTGAAGGTACATAGATATTATGCTTGTTAGGCGTGGATACGTTAGGTCATAGAGATATCAACATATGCTAAATAGTAAACCGGCTAGCTCAGTGGATTGGCATACATGCTGTACTCTGGTCAACTCAATGGTCAAATAGGTCCATAAACTTGTCTGAGTTGGTCAATTTACTCTATCAACTACAATTAGCTCCACTTGGACCGAACAAAGAAGTGCAAATAACTCATTTCGCAGGTTTCAAACCTGCTGCTTTGCTTTTCAATAGATAGATTCCATGCCCCCTTTATCCATGCAAATTGTTCAACTCACCCCAAATCATAAAAACTGCCAACATTGCGACAAACTATAAATACTGGTCACAATCTGCTGGCTTCCTCTACTGAATATTCATGTCTTCCAGTCATGCTTTCTCCAGATAACATAAGCTCTACTAGAACATCTTTTTTTCTTTAAAAACTTGGAAAGTTTATTTTTTTAAGATTTTTATTTCAGATTTTGACATACAAAAGGTTGAGCTTTCTATATTTTGATATTTGCTTGAATTACATAGTTCGAAGGTGAGAAACTGAATGAGATGCTGTATTTTTTATTATAATGAAACTGGTGCCTGTTATTGTAACCCTTAAGCTGGCCAAGCCAAACGGTAAATGTAGGTTCGAATTCCAAGAAGATGTTGTCGATAAGTGGTGGAATTGAGAGAAAAATTGGGATGGGCCGAGAAATAGTCTTCTGTAATTCTTAAATAAAATTTGGCATACTTGAAAATATTTTTTCTAGAGTTGGGGTGGGACGAGATCATGGTTAGCTCCCCTTTCCTATACCCACAGTGATAATGTGGACTGAGGTTAATAATTTTAAATAAAAAATAATTCTTTAGTGAATTGAGTTGGTGAATTGAACAATTCTGACCATAAGAATGGTCGTATTTACCCTTAAGCATATACTGAATATGACAGAAAAAGTGAGAAACCGTAAGGTGATCTGTTAAATGGGCTGTTTTAACTTCTTTTTTATGTTGATGCCTTGATGGCTGTTGTGATTAGAGCTTTTTGTAGTTGAACAACTGGGGGTATTGGACCCTTTAGTCTATACATTACACTTACCCCCATGTCAAGAAACATGGATTTTGTAATGTTCTATGCGTCAAATCCTTTTGTTCTTCTAAAACACAACCATGAAATCATGGTCATATGTAGAGGGTGAGGGCTATATAGGTTGAAAATTTGTGGTGCAGTGTGATTTTGTAAAATATCTAAATTATTTTCTTTTCACTTATCACTTATCTGAAAAGTCCTATTACTCTCTGTGTCTGTTTAAGATTGGGAAAGATGTTGCTGCACAATATGTTGAAGGATGGGATTGGATGACTCCAATAAGGTGAAGCCTGAATAACATTTGCAACTCATTTCAATCTCACTCACACACACACTACATGCACTTTTTTCAATATTACAAGCTTAGAAATTTGAAAATCTTTATTTACGTAGTATTAGAGGTGTCTTCACTGGACATATGAGTGATATTTGAGCAGAATAGATCCTATCCCTTTTCTGGTACTCTGGTACCTTTTAAGGCATACATGTTGAACTGTCAATTGATGGGTCATGAGAACTTTATACTGACTTGTTACATAATGGGATTCTAGTGGCTTACTGGCTTCAAATACAATTCTTTTCATATAAGATTTGGTCTTTGTTCTGTAGAGCCAATTTAGGCATATAAATTATTTAGATCTATGTCACCAAGAAAATCATAAAGAAAATAAAAAAGGATCAATGGTTAAATAAGCCCTAACAAATTATCTATGTCAATTAAGAACTGGCTGTTTATCCCTCTGCTGCCTTCTCTTCATTCGTCTAAATTTAACTTCCCTTTTTTACAGAGATAGAAATACCGGAATCTGGGATGAGGTCTCCATTACAGTAACAGGGGTGAGTTCCACTGATAGTTCTCTCTTGATTTCTTTTGGGATTTGTCCATCTCTCTAAGACAGCTTGAACGGACTAAATGTATGAAAAAATGCATTTCAAAAACTGAAAAACATCATGAAAAGCTCCTTTGAGGTTTCAAAGATGACGGTCCCGTTACCTTTTGTTTACAGCCTGTGAAGATTGTGGATCCCCACTTGGTCACTTCATTCTTTGGTGACTACAAAAAGGGATATTTGCATGCCACAGCCGAGTTAGTTAATAAAAGTGCTAAGGAATCCGAGTGTTCTTTAAATATCCAAGTGTCTACTGAACATGAAGGAAATATTTGCTTAGTGGAGCACCTTGAGACACTGCAAGTTTCTCTTTCTCCTGGAGCACATGTTCAATATACATTCCCTCAGGTCAGCAGTCTTACATCATTGCAACTGTAAGTCGCTGAGGATGTCATTTGTTGAATGTTTTCTCCAGGATTTACTTTTTGTGCAGCTACTAAATAAATAGCTTAGCTATGCTTGGAAAAACATCCTAATATTCAATCAATCATATTTGCATTTTAGCTCTCTGAATAGAATGGTGAATGCTTCCTTTAGCATTGGCACCAAGGCACTAACCATTGATGTTTTTTCTATCATTCTCTCCGCAGCTATTTTTCTACAAACCATATTTATGGTGGCCTAATGGCATGGGTAGGCAGTCTCTATACAATGTTGAAATAACAGTTAACGTGAATGGCTACGGAGAGTCTGCCACATGGAGCAGCCATTTTGGCTTTCGCAGAATTGAGAGTACCATAGATAGTTCTACAGGTGGAAGGTAAATAATTGAATTTCTTTTACATTTCTATAGGTTTCCCCGTTTTTTGTAAATATTGAAATGTAATGTTTTGCTATATTCACACTTTGATATTGTATTATGTTTAGCTGTATTTACGTGATGATATAGAACTAAAGTTCATTTTCCATCTCTGGCAGACTGTTTAAGGTCAATGGACAACCTATATTTATACGTGGGGGTAATTGGATTCTCTCAGATGGGTTATTACGGATTTCGAAGGAAAGATACAAGGCAGATATTAAATTTCATGCTGATATGAACTTCAACATGATCCGTTGCTGGGGTGGGGGCTTGGCTGAAAGACCTGATTTTTATTACTACTGTGATTTATATGGCTTGCTGGTAAAACACAAATTTCCCCATCTATTGTATGGAGAGTATTAGTTTTGTTGACTATCCAGCATCAGTTGTCTACTGAGTGCAAGTCTAGTATAGTAGTAATGTAGTATATTATAGTGAGGTCAAATTCACATTTTCATGATCTATTTGGGTGAGTTAGGCCAAACTTCATGTGGTACCAAAGCTTGTTCCAATGTTGGTTTGTGTGCTACCCCCACTCGATGGTTTGGGGCAGTCTATTTTGGTCAGTTTTGTATAATACACCACATCTATGATCTACTCGAGTGTGACTTTAATCTAGTATATATGTGTGAATGTGTGATGTAAACCCCATCTTGAATTAAGACCAATTTGACATGTTTGATGTGTGTGTGAGTCGGCTCAAAGAACATTACATGAATTGTGGTAAATGAGTTGATAATTAAACAAATGCTTATTGCTGCAGGTATGGCAAGAATTCTGGATTACCGGAGACTGTGATGGACGAGGTGATCCAGTTTCAAATCCAGATGGACCATTGGACCATGACTTGTTCTTGCTTTGTGCAAGGGATACCGTCAAGCTGTTGAGGAACCACCCAAGTCTTGCTTTGTGGGTTGGGGGAAATGAACAAGTTCCACCATCTGATATTAATGAAGCTTTGAAGAATGACCTACAACTCCACCCGTATTTCATGAATTCCTGTGGTGTTGACAACACATCAAAAGCTGGTATGCCTGTGATGAAGGACCCAAGTGAATATCTTGATGGCACTCGTGTTTATGTACAGGGATCCATGTGGGATGGATTTGCTGACGGGAAAGGGAACTTTAGTGACGGTCCTTACGAAATCCAGAATCCTGAAGACTTCTTCAAAAATGATTATTATGCTTATGGGTTCAACCCTGAGGTGGGCTCCGTTGGGATGCCAGTGGCAGCTACTATCAGAGCGACGATGCCTCCAGAAGGGTGGCAGATTCCTTTGTTTAGAAAACTATCAGATGGATATGTGGAGGAAGTCCCAAACCCAATTTGGGAGTACCACAAATATATTCCATATTCTAATCCAAAAAAGATGGTCCATGACCAGATTTTAATGTATGGAACACCAAATGATCTTGATGACTTTTGTCTGAAGGTAAATGATTTTTCTTGCGTAATGACAAGATGGTTTTACTTTAATTCCTATCCTTTCCTTTGTTTGTTTTGACCTATAACCGTTTCAGGCACAATTAGTGAACTATGTTCAATACAGATCTCTGCTTGAAGGATGGACCTCCCAAATGTGGACCAAATATACAGGCGTTTTGATATGGAAAACCCAAAATCCATGGACAGGCCTAAGAGGTCAGTTCTATGATCATCTCCACGATCAAACAGCAGGGTTTTATGGTTGTCGCTGTGCTGCAGAACCAGTTCATGTTCAGCTAAATCTTGACACATACTTTATAGAAGTAAGCATTTTCCAAGTCTTGATGACAGACAAGTTCTTCATACCTCTTTCCTCATGAGATTTATGAGGATTATCTTGTACTTAATTCCTCCAAAGAAGTCCTTTATTAGTAAGGGATAACTTTTATAAATAATTGTTCCAAATAATTTCTAAACCTGTTTGTCGCCTTGCGCTACATAACTGAACTCTTTTGTTGAGGGATAGTTCAACTTTACTCTCAAGTATGAGTCAGTAACTGTGGTGTATCTGTAACCCGAAACACATCCTTCAAGAAGTAGTCTGGGCTGTTTAATTAGTAATTCTTAAAGATGTTAAATTGGACATTATAAGAACACATTCCTATGCTGCACATATTAAGTGATGATTCAAGACTTATTAAGTGATTGGTTTAAGAACGCATTCCTATGTTGCATATATATATTAAATGAACATCATAGGGATATTCATATGTATCCCTATGATCATTTTTAATACTCCCTAGAATTGTTCTTGTGTAATGTTTAATTCTTGAATCAGTTTGTTAGTTCATAATGCAATTTGATTAGTATTTCCAATGCTGTTTACTACAGGTGGTAAACACTACCTCTGAGCAGCTCTCTGAAGTTGCTATCGAAGTATCTGTGTGGGATCTCGAAGGAGAATGCCCATACTACAAAGACTCTGAAAAGCTCAATGTGCCTCCCAAAAAAACAATGCCCACATTTGAGATGGAATACCCAAAGCAGGAGAATGCAAAACGAGTTTATTTTCTTCTTCTCAAGCTCTACAGTGTTTCAGATCAAGTCATATTGTCCCGCAACTTTTACTGGTTGCATCTCTCTGGTGGTGATTATAAGCCCCTGGAATCTTTCAGGGAGAAGAAAGTACCGCTGAAAATTACTTCTCTAACTTTAATTAACGGTTCCAGCTATGAAATGCAGTTGGTTGTTGAGAACACATCAAAGAAGTCGGGTTCCAAAACCCCATGTCATGAAAACAGCTTTGTCACAATAAATAATGGGAGTAATGATGCATTTTTGGAGCCAGCTGATTATTATTGTCTCACAAGAGGGAAAAGTGAGATTAGTTTTTATCAAAAGCTGTGGAGTATGGTAGGGAAACAGAGCAATGTCAAGATTTCAGAAACTAACGGAACTACTGAGGCAGGGGTTGCTTTCTTCCTCCATTTCTCAGTTAATAACTCTTCAAAGAAGATTGCCAAGAATGAGGACACGCGCATTCTACCTGTTCATTACTCGGACAACTATTTCTCACTTGTACCAGGTGAAGTGATGAAAGTTACACTCTCCTTTGAAGTTCCTCCTGGAGTAACCCCACAGGTTACACTCCGTGGCTGGAACAGTGAGGTCATGCATATAGTTTATTGAATCCACCGACTGGCGACTGCCCAGGTAAGTTTTTGTTATCGGCAACTGCTCTTATATTCATGGTTTATAGCTGTGAATATCTTCACAATTGTGGAAGCATGTTCAGTTGAAGTGAGGTATGTGTAAATTACAGCATCTGTAATAAGGCTGCCGCAAAGCAGTTGAGGCTAATAAGAATCCGAAATGCAGAACAAAGAAAAAAGCTGTTGTGAATCTGAAGTTTGTTAATAAAAACTTCATGTTTTTGGAGAAACTTCATGTTACTTATGTACATTAGAGATAGGTGAGTAATACATCATTGTTGTGCATTTATGGTGTTGGTAGTGTTGGACATGATTGCCACGTAAATCTGAAGAATTAGTATAACAGAGAATGCTAAATACAAAGTACCTACAAAAAGGATATATCAAAACTGGATTGCTAACGCTGGAAGTATCCTTCCATCAAAACTCTCCAACCATGAAAGAAAGAAAAAAAATAACCAACCATTCCAGCTCACTGTATGGGAGGTTACCGTGTCCTAGCGGAGGTCTCGGGTTCGAATCCTGCTAGACACATTTAGGGGAGAAGAGGGAGGTCTTGCTCCCAATGATTCTTCCTACCTTCACGGAGTTGCACAGCGGCTTAGAAGGGAGCGGATGGAAATTCAGGTTGCGAGTTTGCGTGGTGGGAGGACCCTTCTGGATTTGGTTGAAAGGAAGTCCTGCTGGATTCGTCCTGTGGTACCTGTACCGACGAAGGCCGACTGTGATACTATCCGGATTTGACTGTCTAGAGGCTTTGGAGGGTGTATTCAATAGACTCCGGGATTAGGGGAGGGCAAATACCGACACCTGACTATCAAAAAAAAAAAGAAAATGAAAGAAAGAAAAGTTTATACTGTTACGGATATATCACAAGTCTCAGGATAGTCGCACATCAAGCAAAGATAAGACGAGCATCTTTAGAAGAAAATGAGTAATCTCCATATGTAAATGAGCATCATTTAGAGGAAAATGTGTAGAATAAGATAGCATGAACATGTGTGGAAGGAAGTCACGATACCACCATACGTGGTATTAATTTAGAGGAAAGTACGCAACTCTAAAAAAAAGCTCCGATTAAGGCTTCCAGCTATTCGCAAGTAGAATATAGGGGTGTTTGGCAATTGATTAGCCGATAGTATTAGCATTTTTTAAAGCAGATAACTTGTGAAATGACTATTAAGGACATTAATTAAATTTCAGCTTCAATTATTATTGTTAGTATTATTAATATTATTATTATTTTTATTAATAGGGGGAAATAATTTAAATACCCCAAGCTTGCATAGGTAATATATACCCGAACTTTGTATAAAAAATTATATTTGCACTATGATTGTATGTTTTTTACAAATACAAATTTATTTGAATAATTAAATAATTAAAATCTTTCCATCATTTGCAATGAAGCCAAAGATTCATTATTTTTTGGCTTGAGATTATGATGGAATAAAGCAAAATCGCTCACTAAATTGTCTGTGCTTCTTTGTTATGAAGCAACACTCAGTCCATGCAATTTTGGACGGGTTTTTCAGTATGGATCATTCGGAAACAGTCTCTCTGTGCTTTAGTACATGGGTAAGACTGTGTACATCCGACCCCCCTTACCCCATCGTAGGTGGGACCTTTGCGGCACTGGGGTAAATGAAAATGAAATGAATTAAATAATTAAAATAATCTAAGATTTGTTAGAATACAATTAACACTCTAAAATTTTATTTGTGAAATAATAATAATACATCCGGTTTAATATAATTTTAATTGCATCCTCATAAATGTTTTGTGTATTTTAAATTATTTACTTAACAACATAAAATTATATTTGTGAAAAAAAATGTGATCTTTAGTGCTAATATGATTTTTTATATAAAATTTGGGGTATGCAAGTTTGGGGTACTTAACTCACACCCATTCAAAGTTTGAGACATAAAATATTCCCCCCCTTATTAATATTATTATTATTTTGACATTAAAAAGTACAAAATATATTTTAATAAATTTAAGCTAAATTGAAAAAATCTAGTAAAGAATATTGTTTAAATGGCTCCCTGCATTAATTGTTGTTCTCTTCTATGGAAAGTGGTGGGTGAGTTTCTCTTTGACGTGTGAGAGGAGGCAAATACGGAAGTACGGAGAAGGTCGGGTGGGTAGTAACGGAAAAATGAGCAACAGCCATGTCTAAACGCCACCAATGATAGCATTTCATATTTTGCTATCATTATTGGATAAAAAGTCAAATGAAGAAGCCTTTAACCAAACACTCTTCTTAGCAGTTTTATCTGGTCAAAAAGTCATTATTGGTCAAATCAGCCAAAAAATGATCGATACACTCCTAACCAAACACCCCCATAATATGTGGTTTTGTGCCGCTCCTTTGAGGATTAGAATGTTGTACGTACATATAACTCAGCGATGACTCCTCAACAACGTAGATGGTGGACAACCGGGACGATGACCCGTGTTCGTGAGCGGTGCAGTATAGTACTCTGAAACAGAGTGCGTCGAAAAACCTAATTGTACCATACTCAAGGTACAACTGATTGTATGATATAATTTGCCTGTCCAAGCACGTCTATGTTCTGTCTTTTGGTGCTTTTTAGAGCACACTTCCTGCACAGGCAACAATCTTCCCTCCAAATCTCAAATGCATTGACAGAGTAAGAGTGTTTTTACTTGGATTGTTTTCAGTCTCAGACCAGACTTAAGCATACCAGATCAGATCGGACTTAAACAGATCAGACCAGACTTGACTTCCGTAGTTATAAAATACACAGAGACCAGACGTTTACCAGACCAGACCAGTTCGGACCAGACCAGACTTAAATAGACCAGACCAAACAAAACCACAAATCAGACCAGACTTAAACAGATCAGATCAGACCAACAAATTACAGTCTCAATAAAAACATCTTAAATCTTCCATGCCAACAACGTGGAAGTTATATGCCAAAGGACAAAACATACATCCTTGTAGGGATCGAGGAAGGTAGGACGAAATTGCAAAGTTGCTTGCATACGAATTACTAAAGAAAATTTAAATAATAATATCAACTATTGTCAGTTCCTTGTTAATAATTCCGATTATTGATTAGTTTTGGATGATCCCAGCTATAAGGATCAACTGCCCGAAATAGTCCTCATTTGCTAAAACCTGGTAAAACAAGTTACTTTTAAATGAAAACTAAGGATAAGAAATAAATGATCTTAACCATGCTCATCTTCTTTTTATTAATCGCGATTCAATTTTTGGAAGTTGTAGTAATGGAGTTTTTTCCAAAAATGTTACGTTGTACTAAAATAAAAACTTATTTACACAAATATAATTAATACGTAGTAGTTACTACAATATAACGTCATGCTCACCTAAGTTAAAAAATTGAACATAAATTACTATAAATAATTTTGCCGCCGCAGGTTTTAGCGAAGGCCAATAACATCATAGCAGCAACATGGCATGCGAGAAGGTTGGCGGATTTCACATGTGATAATAGGGATGGACCGGGCCCAGTTTGACCGGCCCGTGGACCGGAACGGCCCGATACTGTTTAGTACCGAATCGGACCACCGATCGAGACCGATCCATGAGGCCCGAACCGGGGGGTAGGGGGCGGGCTACGGGACAACGATTTGGTGGACCGGTCCGAGCCTTTTTTTTCTATTTTATTTTTTATTTTCATCATTTTAAACAAAATTTTTAAAAAATAATACCCTGACCCGACCCGACCTAGTCCTGGTTCCAACCCGAGCTGGTACCAGGCCTTCCTCCCAAATCCCAGTCCCACCCAAATCCAGGCCCGTGGCTCACCCCGACCCGAGCCCAGTCCATCCCTAGGTGATAATCTCAGTATGGTTTCCTTCCCGACTAAGGATGGACCCAACTGGGTCGAACCGGCTCGGGAACCGGACCGGTCCGCTACTGTGCGGGCCCGAACTGAACCGAGCCTGGATGGCTGGTTCTGGGCTTTAGCCTAGTTTGAGCGGGCCTGGCGGGCCCGACTCGGGCCTTGATTTTCATGAACCGGCCCGATTCATTTTTTTTTTGTTTTTTCAATTTTTTTCTTTTCCTTGGGTAGGGCAGGCCCGGCTGGGTGTTTTGAGGGGGGGGGGGGGGGGTTGAGGGGTGGGGGTGAGGGGGGGGGTCAAGGGTTAATTAGAAAGAAGAAAAAAATACATTGGACCGGCCCGGACTGGCCTGAACCCAGTATCAACTCGGGCTGATTCCGGGCCCAACATCCTGGAAAAAAAAAGCCCGTCTTGAACCGACCCGGAGCCCGGTCCATGCGTATTCCCAACGTACCGGCGTTTTTGTTCCCCTCGATTGTAGGGTGTTTCTGTTCCCACTAGCTTTGAGCAATCAGGTGTAGTGTCTATGTCTCACCCAAGGTAGCTTTGAGCTATTGTATTGCTTTGTCTCTTGTTATTTACATTAGTTATAATAAATAAGCCTTTTGCTTTCAAAAAAAATACTATAAATAAGCTACTACTATAATCACTGGTGAAACTTTTCTAAGCAGACTTTATTTTAGTAATCCATTCTCAATGCTTTATCATTTTATTTTATTTTTCTTTTTATCCAGCCTATTTACCAATAAAGCTATAGCAATTAAATAATCTAATATTACCTTCGTCCTGGTGAACTGTGCCAAGTTAGAATTAGATGAAAAATAAGAAAAGTGAGAGTTGTGTAGTTGAAGTTTGTGCAGAACCACAAATAAGTTACTTTAATAAGAAAGTGACAAAGTTTTTTAAGACAACCAAAAAGAAAAAGTTGGCAAAATCTAATGAGACAAAGGAAGTACTATACTTCGTAGTTCACAAAAATGATACGGAGTACTACGTATAACGTATTGTTGTTGAAGTGGTAACGTCGAACCATGCATAAGCGTTGATCCTTAATTCAAAAGAGGTGTTTGGAACCGATTCTGCTTCTGCTTCTTTGTTAAAGCAGAAACAGAAGCAGATCCGGAATCAATTTTCAGAAGCTGATCTCCCCTAGCTTCTAAAAAAACTGATTCTAGGAGTAAATTAAAGCACCAAAAGTACTTTTGCACTTTCATCCAAACACTCCAACTTCTGCTCCCTGAAAGAGCAGAAGCAGTTTTAAGAATCAGATCCAAACACCCCAAAGTTGCAAACCGTGTTTCAATGTTTTTCATTTAATTTTATTTTTCATTATGTTTACCTTTTATCCTTCGCGGATTTAAGTCTCAGTATTTAAATCACAAAGTCAACAGTG